TTTTTCTTTTCAAAAATATCATATTCTTTACACGACGCTCAATGTCAAACAACTCACTCAATACATTTTCAATATTAAATAATCTCATTAACTCATATTTATCTCTTACTTATTTTTTTTTGTTCACTTTAATTTTAAATAACATAAATACAAGAAAAAAATTAATTTATTATTTAAAATATAAATATTTTATGATTAATAATTAATTTTTAATATTATAGAGTGACGCTAAAAATATACTTACATAAACCAAAAAAAAAAAACTATTGATGTCCAGGTGGGCTTCAACTAGCTCCCCACCCTGGAAAGGCCGACAGTGGGACCCAATTCAGACCACGCATGGCACCTGAAAGAGACTTATAGGCACTAGTAGTCTAAGTTGCAGGTCTGAATTGTGCGAAACTCCATGTAACAAGTGACAAGAACTCACCCATTATTACACTTGACTTTCTATGCTATTTCATTGTCCTCTTTCCGACCATTTCTTTTTTTTTTTTTTTTGTGCGTTTCGAGAGCTTTATTCACGACCAATCTTCACTTTCCACCCTCTGTCCCTTGTCTTCATCCCTCTCCAAAGTAAAATGGCTTACCAGACTGCATCTGGGTCCAACTACACCATTCTTTCTTGTTCTTCATTTTGTGTCTCATGTGGGATCCACTTGACCTATCATGTGCCCCTCTCTTTGAATCTCCAGTTTGAATTCCAAGTTCTATTTTTTTTTTGGGTTTTATGTGTTTTTTTTTTGATCAGAGGGTTTATGTGTTCATTGGTTTGTTTTCGGTGGGTGTAGGGTGGTAAATTTTTGACTTTAACACGAACCCGAAAATAACACGATTTATTGACACGAATAATAAATGGGTAAAATTAAGTTTCGATACGAATAACAAGATTAATGGGTACCGCAAATAAAAAATAATTATTTAATAAGTATTTTAGATAGAAAATAGGAATTTTATAATTTTTTATAATTTTTTTATATTAATCGTGATCAAATTAAATAATTTTTTATTAACACGAATATTGATACGAACCCGACACGTATCGAAAGTGATACAATACGAAAATAACATGATCAAAAATAACACAACACGAAACTGATACGACACAACATGATTGACACTCCTAGACGAGCGGGAGTTTCTAGGGATTGCCCATTCCAAGTCATAAGTTAAGGTTTTAGGGTTAACGACCTACATGAATCATGATCCACACAGAATAATGGGTATTTTAGGGTTAAGTGATAAGGGAGAGCAACTTCTTTTTTACAATAAGAGCAATGAAATCCTAAAAAAAAGAGTACAATGAACGTATTTGGAATGGACTTTTATAGGTAAAAAGTTATAATTTAAAAAATTTTGCAAAAAAATGGAAGTTAAAAAATTCTCTTAAAACCGTTTGATGTATTTTTTTAAAAAACAAAAAAAGTCCGTTTCAAATATTTTTCTAGCTTTTTTTGGACAAAATAAAAAAAAGGTACATGTATAGATTATATATAATAGTTATCAAAATATGAATTTTAAAGTTTTTTATTTCACTAATAATATTTTATGAATATAATAAACTAAAAACTTATGTGGGACCCACCATAAAACTCCAAAAAAGAGGGAGAAAAACTCATAAAATTATATTCTTTAATCAATTTAAATAAACTTTTTTGGATCTAAAAAATTACTGCATAAACAAGTAACAAAACTAAAGTCCAAACGTATCTCACATATTTTACTTCAAAACCCTTAAAAACTAACTATCTATTTAAGCTAGCTGCATACATACCACATATTCATATTGTATTAGGTATTATCATAACCAATTCGAAGTAATTGGGAGGCAACTTAATTTAGAGCAAATTATACTTTGGTCCCCTAAAATATGGTATTGATTTTATTTTATCTTTTAACTAATTCTACGTGTCAAGATAACATAAAATAAAATTACATAGTTTAGGGATAAAGTAAAACAACTCTTTCAAATTTGTAACAAATATTAATCATTTTAAAAAAATATAAATTTAACAATCATTGTCGAAGATGCAATATAAGAAGCGTGATAGTTAATAAGGCAATATCAGTTGAGTCATAGTTGAAGAAATCGAAGTGTAACTTTTTTTCAATTTTACTTCAAGCATAAACACTAAAGAGAGTCACGATAAGAGAGATTTTTGTACGATAATCATAAATATATACTTTTTTCATATGACCGTTAGGTCATGATCCAACAAAAACAAATAATTCAAAACAAATAATTGAAAACATCATGCACCATTTAATACATTCCCTTAGTCCCTGAGAAGGACATTGCTTGACTTCAAAANCACACAGAATAATGGGTATTTTAGGGTTAAGTGATAAGGGAGAGCAACTTCTTTTTTACAATAAGAGCAATGAAATCCTAAAAAAAAGAGTACAATGAACGTATTTGGAATGGACTTTTATAGGTAAAAAGTTATAATTTAAAAAATTTTGCAAAAAAATGGAAGTTAAAAAATTCTCTTAAAACCGTTTGATGTATTTTTTTAAAAAACAAAAAAAGTCCGTTTCAAATATTTTTCTAGCTTTTTTTGGACAAAATAAAAAAAAGGTACATGTATAGATTATATATAATAGTTATCAAAATATGAATTTTAAAGTTTTTTATTTCACTAATAATATTTTATGAATATAATAAACTAAAAACTTATGTGGGACCCACCATAAAACTCCAAAAAAGAGGGAGAAAAACTCATAAAATTATATTCTTTAATCAATTTAAATAAACTTTTTTGGATCTAAAAAATTACTGCATAAACAAGTAACAAAACTAAAGTCCAAACGTATCTCACATATTTTACTTCAAAACCCTTAAAAACTAACTATCTATTTAAGCTAGCTGCATACATACCACATATTCATATTGTATTAGGTATTATCATAACCAATTCGAAGTAATTGGGAGGCAACTTAATTTAGAGCAAATTATACTTTGGTCCCCTAAAATATGGTATTGATTTTATTTTATCTTTTAACTAATTCTACGTGTCAAGATAACATAAAATAAAATTACATAGTTTAGGGATAAAGTAAAACAACTCTTTCAAATTTGTAACAAATATTAATCATTTTAAAAAAATATAAATTTAACAATCATTGTCGAAGATGCAATATAAGAAGCGTGATAGTTAATAAGGCAATATCAGTTGAGTCATAGTTGAAGAAATCGAAGTGTAACTTTTTTTCAATTTTACTTCAAGCATAAACACTAAAGAGAGTCACGATAAGAGAGATTTTTGTACGATAATCATAAATATATACTTTTTTCATATGACCGTTAGGTCATGATCCAACAAAAACAAATAATTCAAAACAAATAATTGAAAACATCATGCACCATTTAATACATTCCCTTAGTCCCTGAGAAGGACATTGCTTGACTTCAAAATAACATTATGTCCCAAGCTAAACAAGTCAAGTCTTCTACATACCAAAAAAAAAAAATAGTCTTCTACATACCAAATTCATCAGCTTCTCTGATGGTCACTACCCCCAAGAAAAGAATAGAAATACGAATTGTTCGCAAGTCTCCTTGACTCTCTCTATATAAAAATGTTTTGCATTATCAGTGACGTTGAAGCAAGTTTTTCTTCTGATTCGGCTGAACATATGTCTAATTCTAACCCTAATCATTATATCATTCAAAAATAATTGAAACCCCTTATATGGGTTTAACCTGTACATGAAGTCACTGTCTAGTGGGTTAGACTTGAGAAAATAAAATCAAAAAGAGAAAAGGAAAAAAGTTTAGTTGACTTGTGCTTCAAAGCAATGAAGTCAAGCAACGTTAGACTTGATGACCTTTGAACAAATACCCAAAAAAGAAATTCCAAGTCTAGGAGAGAATAATGTTTTCTAAATTTGAATATGAGCTAGCGGATCTTTCTAAGAAAGAACTTGGAAAATAGAACGAAGAGAGACCGAAATGGGATTGACACTGCAGGGAAAAATTGGTATCTTCTTAGAGTTGAATTGGTAGAATTTGATGGCTTTTTTATAATAAATTGGTATAGACACTAGCTGAAAGTTTTATATTTGTACAAAATGGTAAGCTGGACATTCAGCCTTCAAGCAATACCTAATTTATAGAAACTATTACTATAAGCGAATTCGAATCCACGACCACTAGAGGAGGACAAGACTTTCACCTTCTGTAGAAGCCGATTAGGCTACCATCGTCGTGGTGGTTTACGGGGATTAGGTGAGCTTCAACTATTAGAACTGGGTGTGCAATAATATGGGCCGGTCCATGAAGCTCACAAAGCTGACCTTAAACCCTTCAGGCTTGGGCTACGTCGCCTAGAACCCTTGGGCCACGCAGGTTCCATAGTGGACTGTAATTTTTTTCGAAATATATATATGAGTTTCATGTCTAATTGAAAAGTTAAAGCCTAAACTTCATTGAAATTAGCACCGTAAAATATTAAAATTGCTTACAAATATAATTGAAAAAAGTCTAATTTTCGTAAAATCTGTCTATGATTTTACATAAAAAAAAAAGAATAAAGATGGAAATATTTGTCATTCAGGAATCATTCAACTTAGTGATGAGTATAATGGGCTTTCTATGATAAAGTTGCGTCTCCTAGTAGCCCATTCCTCCAACTCAACAAAAATCCCAAACTCTTTTGGGATGGACCTGAGGATTGAGAAGAAAGTGGTGTGTCAAAAGTCACTTTAAAAATCCAAAAGTTTCTACGAGTTTGCGATGTGTGTAGAAATATTGAACAAACCTCTCAGAAACCATCCACTATTATTTTTTGGTTTTTTTTTTATCTCTAGAACTTTTCTATTCTTCCCTTCTGCCTCTGTGAATCAGGCGAAACATGTTGATCATCCTCATAGAAATACAACCATCAAATGCCTAAAAAAAAAACAAACACCATATGTTTGTACCACAAACATTTCCCATGATATTGACCAAGCTACCACTACTCAGATATAAATTATTAGTAGTCCGTCCAGTGCGATACACCTTGTCTCAACTGCTTGAAAACAGACTGACTACCACTCTGATTATCATGTCTAGAATCCAAACCAGACATTTCCGTCTGAATTGCAGGGAATACCCCCTCCTCAACCTGATCTGGAGAAATCAAATCAACACCTAAAAGAATAGTATTCTTACTCCCACCCAAATTCTCCTTCTCCATCACTGAATTTAAAACAGAAAACCTGTTTGTTTGAGATAATTCCTTTTGTTTAAACTCGCTTATTCACATTCTGCACCATCACAAATTTCTGATTATCAAACTCAGAATCAATTTATCCTTCTCACCAACTTTAACACTCACCCTTTTTAGCCTTCTTGCGACATAACAAATGGAACAAAATTTACAATCCTTTGCCAGTCTTCCACTAGAACCCCATATCCAACCAAAACCTTACAGGATTATTGGCCAACAAATTTACCTCCACACAGACACAAACACAAACACAAACACAACCACATGTTGTAAGTTGTAATGTCGAATTCTCCCAATACGGCTCAAAATGTCTGGCTAACATAGTCATCAAATAAAGAGAATCGAATCAAAATATGCCTCGGATCAAGAATACAAAAATTCTCCTTTAGAAAAGCCATCGAGAAGCTATGAATTCCCAAAGAGGGTTTCATAGGCACACTTTCCAATTAATGTCTGACTAAATCGCTTAGACAACTCCAAAGCTTCATCAGGAGCAACTCCAAAGTAACAAACATAGTTGAAGTACTTGCAGTCTTTCTTTTCCAGGGCAGTCATATATGTCATACTCAAGACCCAAGTCCACAGTCAACTACTAGAGCATATATTGCTCAAAATCTGCAATTACATGCGCACAAAAACTTATTGTCAGTCCAGAGCAGATTACATATGACTAAAATTTGTTTTGGTAGAAAAACATGTTTTCTTTTCTAATTCATTTTTCTGTATATAAGATTGATTGCGATTAATTCCATTTTTTATTTCATAACTGAGATATAAAACACAAAGATGAGTCATTAATTCACTTGTCTCTGAAAGATTGTGATTATATTATGTTCTTGCAAAATACTATAGGATGTGGTACGATCTATCAGGGGATGGCCTCTGAGGGTCAAGAGGGAGAAAAATTATTGCCAATACTTTTTTGATGACCACTCTTCTTTCATGAGAAAGCACTACTTCTCTATAACCATCCTCTACTATAATTGTGCAAGGAGGTGACTTACATTTTTAAATACCCGGTTAAAGGTGGTAACGTTTCATTACTTTCTAAAAATATCTCAAGTTATTATAAGTTGTATGGGAAAATTTTTATAAGTCTGTACCTTACTTTTGTGTCTTCTAGATTGTTTTTAGTAGTTACTTTAATGTCTCAAATTTTAATATTGTTTTTGATGATTTTTAGCTTGAGAATGTTGTATTACCCTAATAAAGATTGTAATCGTTGGTCCGAGGAATTGTGATTGTTCGTCCGTTGTAAATAACATATGCAAGTGACACTTTCATTTGTTATTAGACTAGGGTCGGCCCAACAGTATAAAAAAAAAACGCATGAATATTAGGCCTCAAATTTTTAAAAGGCTTCATAATTTTAGGTACATTATTAATCCACAAAAAAAATTAAATCCATTAAATTTTAAGCCCTACAAAAAAACTCCAAAAAATTAAATTCAATCCAATCAAAATTTTCATTGCAATAATTATGGCCTATAATCTAATCCATAACATTAAAAACTTAAAAATTAAAAAAATACTCAAAAGTCAACTTATATTTACTCTCATCCTTTCTCTCTCTCTTGCCAGTAAAAAAAAATTGAAATTAAACACTTTCTCTCCCTCTCTGTGGTAAAAAATAAAAACAAAAGTTGAAATCTCTTTCTCGATAACATTAACACATCTTTTTTTTGTCTCCCTGTCACATAAAAAATTAAAAATAAATTAATTTTTTTAAAAAAATAATACTAAAAATAAATGACCTCTATTAATATTTCCGTTTTAGCCCTTAAATTAGCTTAAGCCGCCCCTGCATTAGACTTCTTATTCCTCCACATGATTTGTTGCAATTGACTTTCTTTACCCGTTCTTTTTCTCCTCATCTCTCTTTCATTTTATTTTAAATGTAATGTGAAGCGAAATATCGTTGTTGTTTTTTTTTTTTTGACTAAAATGGTATATTTTCTTGCAGAGTGTGAGCCTTAGTTTATCTTTGGGTTGGCATATTTTGGGCTCGTTAGCAATGGAAGTCTGACATTATGTCATAGGACATAACACCTTGATTTGTGTTACAAATATTTTGCTGAGGATTTGGACTTTGGTGACCGTAGACAATTTAGTTTTTGTGGGTCATTTGTTGGTCTAATGTTGTCTGAAGTGAGGTTAGAGGGTAGTTTACATTTTAGGGCACTAGCAATATACCATGTGAATATGCACGTACAATTTTTTGTTGAAAGATTTAATAAAGTATATAAAAAATTTAATTATATATTTAACTTAGATATTATCTCATATTTATTATAGTTGAATTATTTAGGACATGTTTGATTTGCATCTCAAAAAATAATATTTTAAAACTATTTTTGAGAAGAGTTTTAAGAAAGTGTTTTTAAAAATTTTTGGATTGCAAAATATGTTTGCTTATATATTTTTGAAAATAGTTTTAAAGAACAAAAATTATAAAATTTGTTTGACCAATAATCACAATTTTCACAACCATCGAAACAAGCAACCAGGACCCTTCTTCTTCAAAACTCTATCAACCAGAGGTTGTCTTCTTCAACTCTTTGTCTTTCTCTCTTTCATTGTGCATCAAGACCCACAAAGCACCGAGCATCACCGAAACCCACAAAGTACCAAAACCACAACCATTACCAAAACTCACAGCCACCACCGAAACCCACAATCCACCATCGAAACCCACAACCACCACCAAAACTCATAACCACCAAAAACACACAACCATAACCGAAACACTGACTTATAATGCTGGAGAAGATCTAAAGTTTTGATCGTCTTCGTCTTCGTCGAAGAAGATTTGAAGCTTCCTTTCTGCTCGTTCTGTCTGAGAGGCAAAGTGGAGAGAGACAGAGAGAGCCTCTCTCTGATCGTCTTCGTTCTTTGCTACGTTTTGTCTATGTGTGTCTTCATCTGTTTGATGGACAAAGTGGAGAGAGGCAGCGAGGAAGGAAAAAAAAAAGAGGAAGCCCCGCTATTAAGGAAACTCGAGGGGCAAACCTCATTAAAGAGGTGTTCTCCGTGTTTCCATAGTTTTCAAAGAAAAGTCTGAAAATAAGTGTGACTTGTTTTCTATTTCTTTGTTTCAAATCTCATTTTTTTAAAAATATTTGAGAACAAAAATGTTAAACAAACATATTTTGGGTATTTTTAAAATTTTGAGAACAAAAAACTGTTTTTGTAAAAAAACTATTTTACAAAAAACTGCTCTGCTCGTTCTGTCTGAGAGGCAAAGTGGAGAGAGACAGAGAGAGCCTCTCTCTGATCGTCTTCGTTCTTTGCTACGTTCTGTCTATGTGTGTCTTCGTCTGTTTGATGGGCAAAGTGGAGAGAGGCAGCGAGGAAGGAAAAAAAAAGAGGAAGCCCTGCTGTTAAGGAAACTCGAGGGGCAGATCTCATTAAAGAGGTGTTCTCTGTGTTTCCATAGTTTTCAAAGAAAAGTTTGAAAATAAGTGTGACTTGTTTTCTATTTCTTTGTTCCAAATCTCATTTTTTTTCAAAATATTTGAGAACAAAAATGCTAAACAAACATATTTTGGGTATTTTTAAAATTTTGAGAACAAAAAACTGTTTTGCAGGAGATAACCAAACAGACCCTTATATTCTCTTCACAACTATAAATATTCAATTACTCATTTTTTGTATTCTTTTATTCGAGCTACCAAGTAGTAAGATTATAAAATTCTATTTTCTTAGTTTTTTTTTTATTTTTGTCTTTCTTGTTTTTACTTGCCTTAGTAATTTTTTACTAAATTATTTTAATTGTGAATGAAGAGAAAAGATAAATATATCAATTTTTTGATATTAGAGATGATATTATATCAATAGAGTTATCGATGTGTATTAATATTAGGGGTTTAGGGAAAAAAATAATGTTATTTTTATATATCATGTTAAGCATAACATAATCATTCAAAAATTTTGCATAGATAGAGAGATTTAGATGATATATTAGATATTGGTTTGTTATTTAGAAATATAACAATTGACACTTATGTACATTGTTTTAGGTTTTATAACCATGGCGGAACTACGGAATTCAATGTAAGAAAAGATTATTATAACAAGAGTTTGAAGGATAATGTAGTAATTTATAGAAAATATGTATGTTGCAAAAAAAGACAAAAGAATAAAAATTAAAGGGATTGGATAACAATGAAGCCTCAAACAAATACGCGAAAACATATGAGGGATATTAGAAAATTTGTTATACTCAAATGGGAAGAAAAACACAATTACACATTGGATAGCTGAGTGTCGGATCTAGCAAAAGTTAACGTCTACTACGCTTTTCATTATTCATTTAACATGTATTCATTTCATAGGTATTGTTTATTACTTAAAACATTATGTCATTTGGTAGACTTTAACTCTCATCCATATGCAACTTATGCCCTATATGTTGCAAGTTAAGAATATAATGTCGAGCCTATGCAAGAGGATCCTATTGTTTTCCTTTTGAATTTGACAAACTGTTTATTCGTAGTCTTTTCCGTTTCTTCTTTGACAAACTGTTTATTCGTAGTCTTTCCCGTTTCTTCTTTGCATCATTAGTAAATATCGACGTGATACTGTTAAACGAAATTATCTTAGCCCCGTGCTTATGGTTGCATGCCTTCCCAACATGTTTCACATTTACAACCAACATAACAAATAAATGGCTAATCAAATATACTTCAACCTTTAACCTTCTTTCAACCAAATTTAACTGTTTATATCATAGATATATACCACAACATCCCAAATCAACTGAAAAATAAATTACTATATGGGTTACATTAAATTTATAAAAGAAAAACAGCAAAATAAAGTTAACAAGGCATATAGAAAGAATTGAATTCATTGATCCCATAGTCAGTGGAATTTAAGCACTTGAAACTTGAATTCTAAAACACTAATCCCCAGAAAATGAAGACAATATCGACAATAAAAGATTAAGAAATTTTTTGTTTAAAAAAATTAACTTTTGCAAGGATTTCCACTCCACAAAATTCCCAAAACAAAAGATAGAGATCCATTGGACATGCAAGGACCATGTTACTTGGGATCAAATAACAAGTCTTTGGTGCCAAATTCATAAATCCCAAAAATATTTACTCTACAAATGACTGGATTTACCAACATCATATCTATCCATTAGTAAAATGAGACAAATCCTCCACATGAACAAATTCACAAGTCATGCTGCAAAACAGTTGAGAATTGGGCATGTTCTCTCTCGTGAACAAGATCTAATTCGATAATTATTAGAAAATGTATGCATTAAACACGTATCATATATTCATATCCGTATTTGTCTGTTATCCCAACAAGTACCTTTGTACACCTAACAATCCATGGGTGACGGGATATGTGACGTTCATGTATCAAACAAGAAGATAGACAAAAACTAGTAAAACACAAACCCCCAATTCATTAGTAAAGTGAGACAATTCTTTCACAATAACTTATGATATAATATAAAAATTCCGAGTATAAGAACTAGAAATCTATATTGTCACAGGGTGAAAGACGTATCAGATTCCTCATTTATTAACAACTTTGACAAGTTTAGTATATTCAACCTCATTGAATTGCTAGCAAATAAGAAAAGAAAAATCTAAATTTAAGAGGCTGCAAATTATTTATTTATTTATTTTTTGGTTTAACGATTAAGAGTGTCCATGCTAATTTACGTGCACTTCAAGTAATCTCCTCCCCAATTTGATCAAATGCATCCACGTTGAGATTAAAGTATTCATGAGCGATAAATCTCTCATAACTAGACTCCAATGGGTTGTCAAGACTCGATCTTAAAACCTTTGAACTAACAACTCAGTGTTTTTACTACTTGAGTAACCCTTGAGATTGAAGCTAAAAATTATTTGTAGAATTACAAAGAAGTCTTTCAGGTCTAAGGACACTTATGTTATAGAATCAACAAAATAGTTTTGGAAATCCTTAGATTATGTAATTTAAGGTTATTTATGATATTTAATTTAAACAATGTTTTTTTCGCCTATTTTGTTGACAAAGTAAGATTGCAAGTGATAATTTTAGATTCCAATTCTAGGTGTTCCTAAAGCCTAAATTTTTTAAAAAAAAAAAAAATCCGAGACAATAACTTCCAACTACATAAGCAAAAATAACACAAAAATTGAATGTTATACATTACAAAAATTCTAATTTTCAGTGTTGTATATATGCATACTAGCGTCGCAGTTCCATGCGATGCACGGATATATCTATAATTACAGTAGGTAAATATAATTATAAAATACCTACAATACCCCTCCCCTATTCTTACGTTAACTATCCATAACTACCTATAAATACATCTAATTTCTCATAATTTATCTTTTATAACTCTTATATATCTCTAACTCTCCTCTTATCATACTCTAAAATTAAATGCAGGGGTACGTGACCACTAGTTCTTTTAAACTGGTAATCGTAGTTTAATAAATCAACAATTTTACTTGAACTTAAAATACTAATTTGTTGACATAATTATTATTATCATTAATTTAATTGTGAATTTTAATATTTGCTAAGAGTCGCTATCAATTCAAGGAGTTGTCTACGGTACCGAAACAAAAATCGATACCATATTTTCATTTATTATTTTTGTGGGTGTTTTTACTACTATTATTGTTGAAAATGATAAAAATAATCATAACAATAGTAAAAATACCTATAAAAGTGATAAAAATACCCACAGAAATGATAAATCACTCACAAAATTGATAATTTTTTTGTATAAAAAAAAAGAGTTATCACGAAAGTAAATTACCCATAAAAGTAATAAAAATTTTTGTCATCAAAATATCTATAAAAATTATAAAATCACTCATAAAAAAGAGAAATTTTTTTTTATTCAGTGTCATAGTCAAGTCCTTCAAAGATCAAATCAGTACCCATTTTTTTATTCGGTACCCAATTCTATAATTGTGATTAATTGGATCAACACACCCGGCAACATTTTAAATTCAAATAATATTTTTCTCAATAAAAAAGTTATAAAATGGTAATATTGTTTATTAGCCAAAATAAAATTGGTAATATTGTTTAACAACGATGGTAATGAGAGAAATAAGTCTGTAAACGTGTACACGTTGTCTTCCTCTTCCCCGGCAATTGATATCTTCAGCAAATAGCAAATATATATATGAACATGGATAGAGGTATATAGATCTTTATATATTGGTTGAGTTAGCAGAGGGATCATGTACCAGTGGAGGAAATTCGAGTTCTTCGAAGAGAAATATGGGGGGAAATGCTCGATTCCGGAGGAAATCACCGGAAAAATTCAGTGCTGTTCCAGCGGGAGAGGCAAAGTCTTGATTGGATGCGACGACGGCACCGTCAGTCTTCTAGATCGAGGGCTCAAGTTCAATTATGGTTTCCAAGCTCACTCTTCCTCTATTCTCTTCCTTCAACAGCTCAAGGTCTGTTCATCTCCGCTCTACCTTTTTTTGGTGCAAATCTTCTTATTATTGTTGTCAATTGAATTATTTCCAAGTGTTTATTGTACATCTGTAGACTCATTATATATTACATTATGCACGAGAACTGGAAATTTGATTAGAATAATTGTTGGTTTTGGTTAGAATTAGAGAAAATTGAAGTTTTTGAGTTGAATTAATAACTAAAATTTAGTTTGGCAGTAAAATTTTGAAAGAGGTAAGCGTCCTTGTCTGTTTATATTTACAATTTTTGATATTGTGAAAACCTTTGGGATTGATGTTTCTGTAATAAAAAGACAGATTTAAAAATTGACTCAGAAAATTGCAGTTCTGAGAACAATGGCTTATTTGTTTTGCAATTGTTAGTAGGATCAGTTCAGTGAGTATTACTTGAATCAAATGATTGATTTTCTGTGGGTGTTGAATATGATGGGGCACAGGATTATTTCAATATGGGGTTCGACTTTGATTTTTCTTTCTGGACTACAAATTAGACTATTTATTGCTTAACTGAAGTAGACCACCATACTTCACTGTGGATGGGATTTTCTGAGCATTCTCCTTTTTTTTGTCTTTTTTTTTTGATTCATTAGCAACGGAACTTCCTCTTGACCATTGGGGAAGATGAGCAAATTTCTCCACAGCTATCGCCATTGTGCCTCAAGGTTTTTGACCTTGACAAGATGCAGCCGGAGGGCACAGGCACAAGCACAAGCACGTCCAGTCCTGATTGCATTCAAATATTGCGGATATTCACCAATCAATTTCCTGAAGCAAAGGTATTGGATGATGCCGTTTTATCTTTTATGTATTTGTGCAGTTGCTTGCTTGAATTTGTCTTCTCTCATTAACTTGTTCACTGAAATTGATTTGTGAAATGCCCATTTGGAGTTCTAATTACTTTAAAATATCTAAGAAATAGCATGTCCTGCAGATCACTTCATTTCTAGTTCTAGAGGAAATTCCACCAATATTATTCATAGCTATTGGATTAGACAGCGGTTGCATTTATTGCATCCAAGGGGACGTTGCACGTGAACGCATCAAACGCTTCAAGCTTCAGGTGGAAAATCAGTCCGATAAAAGCCCATCTTCTATTACAGGTCTAGGATTCCGAGTGGATGGTCAAGTCCTTCAGCTATTTGCAGTTACTCCAACTTCAGTGAGCCTGTTTAACTTTCAGGCTCAACCACCTAGTCGGCATATGCTAGATCAGATTGGATCTAATGTCAATAGTGTTGCGATGAGTGATCGATCGGTATGCCATTCTGGATGCACATCATATGATTTTATTGACATAAACTAGTGTTTATATATTTAGATACACCTAATGATGTTTTCGCTATGCTGTAATCAGGAACTGATCATTGGTCGGCCTGAGGCTGTGTATTTTTATGAAGTTGATGGCCGGGGTCCTTGTTGGGCCTTTGAGGGAGAGAAAAAATTCATTGGGTGGTTTCGTGGATACCTTTTATGTGTTATTGCAGATCAAAGGAATAGCATGAATACTTTCAATATTTATGACCTCAAAAACCGTTTGATTGCCCATAGTATAATGGTTAAAGAAGTTTCTCAAATGCTTTGCGAATGGGGTAACATTATTCTTATAATGGCAGACAACTCAGCTTTATGTATCGGGGAGAAGGATATGGAAAGCAAACTAGATATGCTTTTTAAGAAGAATCTTTATACAGTAGCTATCAATCTTGTTCAGAGTCAGCAAGCTGATGGTACTGCAACTGCTGAAGTATTAAGGAAATATGGGGATCATTTATACAGCAAAGCAGACTATGATGAGGCAATGGCGCAGTACATCCACACCATTGGTCACCTTGAACCTTCATATGTGATTCAGAAGTTTTTAGATGCACAGAGAATCCACAACCTTACTAATTACTTGGAGAAGTTACATGAGAAGGGGCTTGCTTCCAAAGACCACACCACTCTTCTGTTAAACTGTTACACCAAATTGAAAGACGTTGAGAAGCTTAACATGTTCATTAAAAGTGATGATAGCATGGGGGAGCTTAAATTTGATGTGGAAACAGCAATACGGGTCTGCCGTGCTGCCAGTTATCATGAGCATGCAATGTACGTTGCTAAGAAGGCTGGGAGGCATGAATGGTACTTGAAGATCTTACTTGAAGACCTGGGTAGCTATGAGGAAGCCTTGCAGTATATTTCTAATCTTGAACCTAGTCAAGCTGGGGTGACTGTGAAAGAATATGGCAAAATTCTTGTAGAGCACAAACCACGGGAAACTATTGAAATACTGATGAGGCTTTGCACAGAGGAAGGAGAACCAGCCAAGAGGGGGACCTCGCACGGTACATATGTAGCCATGTTGCCATCTCCTGTTGATTTTCTCAACATTTTCATCCATCATCCACAGTCACTTATGGAGTTTCTTGAGAAATACTCCAACAAAGTACAGGAGTCACCTGCTCAAGTTGAAATTCACAACACACTCTTGGAGTTATACTTATCTCATGACCTGAACTTGCCATCAATCTCCCAAGCCAACAATGGAGAAAATGGTAATGTCAGAGAAGAAGGACCATCAGGAGCAGCTGTGATGTCAAGATCAGAGTCAAATGCAAAATTACGTGAAAATCATAGATTTATGAATAAGGAAAATGATCTCCAGGAAAGACTTCAGAAGGGGTTAAAATTGCTCAAGAATGCATGGCCATCTGACCAGGAACATCCACTATATGATGTTGATCTTGCTATAATTTTATGCGAAATGAATGCTTTTACTGAAGGGCTCTTATATCTATATGAGAAGATGAAACATTATAAAGAGGTGATTGCCTGCTACATGCAGGCACATGACCATGAGGGTTTGATTGCGTGCTGCAAGAGGCTGGGAGATTCGGGAAAGGGAGGTGACCCTTCTCTTTGGGCAGATCTATTGAAGTACTTCGGTGAACTTGGAGAAGATTGTTCCAAGGAAGTTAAGGAAGTTTTGACATATATTGAAAGGGATGACATATTACCTCCTATCATAGTTCTTCAGGCCCTGTCCAGAAACCCATGCCTCACTCTCTCTGTAATCAAAGATTATGTTGCTCGAAAATTGGAACAGGAGTCAAAGCTGATTGAAGAAGATCGGCTAGCTATTGAGAAGTATCAGGTTTGGTTTTATTATTCACAAAATCCTATGATACATATTAATGCTGCTGTATTTCTTTTTCTTTTTCTTTTTTTTTTTTTGGAGAGGGGAGAGAGGAGGAGGTTGTTTGAACCCGCAACCACTTACAAGCGGGAGTGAGCCCTTACCAGTGGGCCACTCCCTCACATCGATTCTGCTTGATTTATCATTGGATTTCTAGAGTGAAGTTGGCTATGGTTCAGTCTGGACTCTGGAGGCCTCAATGGAGGGCTGATTGCAACAATAAGCTTGTCTTAATTGAGGAATTCGGTTGTATAAGGAAACAATAATTGACATTGGGGGACTTCTTTTGTGATGCATTATGTTGGGCACTTTCTACCTTTAGGTTGAGAGACTCGAGATAAGTAGTAATTTTTCTACACTCAATGAGCTTGATAATCCCATACATCCTCGTATCACTTCAACCTGACAAGATCCTACTGGCTTGTATTGCACCTAATTCCAAATGTTGTGCGTCAAATACACTACTAACTTTTATGGAATAATTGATGAAGTTGTCAGTGCTGATAAAATCATCATTGTCCCATACATAGATACTAGGACGGTTGATTCCATAAATGTAAGGAGATAAATCTATAGTCCGTCATTTTGACCATTTGGGGATTATTTCTGGACTGGACCGAGCATCTGGATCTAAGTTATACTAATCTAGTTATTGTAACTTTATATGGATGGTTTAGTAGTAGTCGGTTGATCATAATTGTTAAACCATTTGCACTCTTTCCATTCAGATTATTCCTAGATGTGCATCTATGGAACTGTTGGAGGTCTTCTTGATATATCCTGTAATCTTTTCCCCTTGTTTCCTCACTCCTTGAGAAGAATACGCATTGGAGTTTTTGAAGATCTGCTGTCTTAAAAATTGCAGACTGTTGAACATCTTTTTTAGAATGGTTAAACTAGTGTCCCAACTTGAAAAAGGTGATAGATACTAAGGATCACTATGTTACAAAGGATGGAACACCATAATCAGTGCATGGAGAATGAAATTCCGCATGGAAATTGTTTGATAGATGAGATTAGAAAATTCTTGACTATTCCTTTAATTTTGCAGGAAGAGACATTGGCAATGAGAAAAGAAATTCAAGATCTTAGGACAAATGCCCGAATATTTCAGCTTAGCAAGTGTACTGCTTGCACTTTCACCCTTGATCTCCCTGCTGTCCACTTTATGTGTATGCACTCCTTCCATCAGCGTTGCCTTGGTGACAATGAGAAAGAATGCCCCGAGTGTGCTCCTGAGTATAGATCTGTCCTGGAGATGAAGAGAAGCTTGGAGCAGAATTCCAAAGACCAAGATCGGTTTTTCCAACTAGTCAAAAGTTCAAAGGATGGGTTCTCTGTGATCGCGGAATATTTTGGGAAGGGGATTATTAGCAAAACTACTGATGGACCCGCTGGCGCTCATTGATTGAGCAACACTATTTCCCGTGGCAACTTCTGATATATTTTTATTACTTTTGTAGCTTGTGCTGTTTCTTTCATTAGCTTGCAAATCTTTCCTGCCCTTTGAACAGAAATTAGAAATTTTGGGTTATGCTTCTGCGACTTTGGGTTTCTCCCTACTCAATGGGCATTGGCCATATATTGAACTACTCACACACCTTTCTTTGACCTAGTTAGTCTAGTGATCTAGGAAAAGAGAAACTTGTCTGGGAAGAACATTCAAAGAATACTCATCGAATATCTTAATCTGTTCAAACTGGCTGGTATGGTCTCACAAAGGAGGCATGTTGCTCAGTCTCCCTGAGCAAGATCATGAGAAATGGCCTCTAGCTTCAAGTTTATTGCAATTGACATGCTGGACGAACTTTACCGAATGTTTCTGCTTAAACTATTTCTTGATTTCATTCAAGTGGTGCAGTAATGTTGGGCTTGTATTTTTTGTTAGTACATATAGCTGGTTTTGCTTTGTGTTTATTACCTTTTATAGCTATTTGGCATATAGATTGATAATTTCAGGCTCTTTAGCCTTTGAGTAGCATAGTGTCTGGACCAAGGCAGTCGTAGTTTACTGAATGATTTGGCACAAACTTAGTTTTGCTTACAAAGGATGAAGCCATGCTTTTCTCAGGAGGTCTTGCTTATTTAGAGGTCTTTGCTTATCAATAAATTAAGGGTGCGGGGTGTCAATTTGGGTCGTGTTGTGTGACTCTGTGTATCGAGTATTTTTGTGTTGTGTTTGCATCAAGATTCACGATTTTTTTTTTAATTTTTTATTTAGTGTGTTCTAAATGTCAAACATTGATCTAGATCATTTATTATGTGTATTTAAGAATCATGTCAATTTTAAAATTTTATTGTGTTGGATTTGTGTTGAATTTGTATCGATTGGTCAGAGTTGACACCCTGGGATCTCTTCTCATATCCTTCCCTGAATTTCGTGCAATAGTATATCTCCTACTATGTATTGGTGAGGGATCAATGTATATATAGTGGGTATATATAATGGGGTCCGATTAAAATTCATAACCGATGATTTACCATTGAAAAAATTGATAAAAAAATGTATTAGAGTGATTTGGATCTTGCATTATTATCTAAATTAATTTGGGTTATGGATTATCAAAGAAATAAAGCTGATAGACTATTGTTTTCAGCATCAACTCTGTTGGATTGGAGCAAAGCTGGACCCTCTACTCATACCTGAGTGTGGATGTCATCCCTGTCAACTGAAAGAACTGGCATAGATTTGGAAGGTTATAGAGAAATCTCTCAAGTTGGGACCCACTAAATAATTTCTAGGTTTTACCTACTCCTCCTTTGTACATCTCTAGTGTCCATATGTTCCATGAGAATCTCTTGACATTATGAAAGAGTAACTTTCTTTTATGAGTTTATATTTGGCTTAGAACCAGATGTTTGGAATCTAACAATTATATATTCCTGAATAGTAATGCTAGAAAACAAATGATTGTATGATCCTATTACTCAATAATGGAGTGATTGAATTGTAAAGGAGTGATTGAATTGTTGAGAATCATATACTTGTAGAGAAGTGTCTGATTAAAAACATACTTTGTTCGTTTTGTTTCCAAAAATCTTAGAAAATGTTTAATAGATTTTCAGAATCCAATTTCAATGTGTTTTTCTTTCTGATCTTGAAGTATAGTTTTATCACTCAAGGAAATAACACTGAGTTTTCATACCACAAAAAGACTTTTAAAACATTATGTGGAGAGAGAGAGAGAGATTGAATGTCTCCAATGTTTTGCATTGAACATTCTTGAGATGTTGATAGATAAACCATGGGTGCCATAAAGAGGTATATTATAGGAACATATTTGTTAGTAGATCAATAGACACATACTCAGATACTCCGACATCCTTTAATTGGATCAACCTATTTATGGGTGCCTCAGTTCAAGTACATGGATAGAGGGCGGAAGGGAACCAAACCATTGGCCCCTTAAGACTAAAAAAAAAAAAATAACAAATCCCTCAATGTGATAAAGAAAATTTTGAAGTGATTCTTAGAATTTCAAGTAGTTTATCTCCAAATTTCTTTTTATCTTTATGGTTTGTGCATGGTTTGAAGTTTTCCTCTAGTATTTCTTGAAAGTTTATCAAAAAAAAAAAATCTCCGATAAATTTAATCTTAGGTTTGACCCCCCATAAATCTCGTTGTGATGAAAACTTTGTACACTGACTGTCGTTTTAATCCAATCCTAAATTTATTTTTTATATATCACCTTCTTCTTGTCATTACCCGTTACTTGTTTGATTTGAATGGATGCATTGGATATGATTTTTGTCATTCATCACCTTTTCATTTATCCGGTTAGCTCGGATATGGATGGTAACTTGTAGTCTTACGATCTATTTTAATTAGAGATGCTCCAATTAATCAGATACACGCAAGTTATTAGTAATTATATGTATCTCAAAGTAACCTTACAGTAATGAATATAAAAATTACACAATCACGATCATTCTTTACTTAAAAAAAAAATCTATTTCATTATGACACACATTTTTCTAATTGTTTCTTGCACTCATTCTCTTTATATAAACTATTCTTATAAGAATATTCATATTGCAAAAAGAAAGTTTCTTCATGATTCCAATTCGACAATTACACTTTATGCTTTCGTCTCCACTTGGTAGAAATGAGAATCAAATCGAACTTTGCTGTTTTGTCCTCCACATGGTTTGTCATATTTATTTGAGAAAAAAAGCCGATTAATTAGGGCTTCCTAACCTATAATTTGGATATGGATGGAATCAGTGCTCACAGCCATCATTGTGCAAGATTGACCCAAAATGCTTCCTAGTTCATTCCTATTTTTTCCCTTACTAAGGAGGATCTTACCAACCTGGCATCATTGGAATTCATGATTTGAATGCAAATCTTGAAATTGACCTCAATCATCCAAGGAAAAATTACCCAATTCGGGCCTGTGTTAGGTCAGGACATCATCTATATGCCGACTTAACCTGGCGAATGCCCAAGTTAGCCATGTATGCACCAGCTTGGAAGCAACTAGACAGGGTGGAAAATGACTTTCATTAGTAAATCTTATTTTGAGTAAGAAGTCATCGCTTTTAAAATGTCACGTCACGTTACGTCACGATTAAGAGGAGAGCCTATAATTACCAATGATTTCTCTAAATATTTTTTGACAAGTTTGTTAGCATTACACTACCCTTATATATAAATAGAGACTCAACATGTAAAAAAGAATACCACAAGTGTAACTTCCTTCCTCTTCCCTCGAGTAATTTACAATCAAGGAGTAAGAATTTTCATTACAGTAGACTAGTGTAACTCTTCAGTTTGATGAACTAATTAATCTTTATTCATTTTCTCTTATTCCATCACACACGCTCCATACACCTTACACATAGCTTATCTAACTCTTTTAGCTCAAGCTTCACAATTTTCTCCACCTTTAGAGCTCAAGACATTAAGACTATAATTCAATCTTAATCAATGAGCTAAACTTCATTTTGAAACCATCAAAACACCTGAATTGTTTCTGTTTCAATAGAAACTGAAATGAATCAGTAATTGATTATCAAAATTCGTATGTTTCATGTTTTTTTATATATTTTAATATGTTTCGATTAATATTTCAAAATTTCTCGAAAACAAATTTTTAAATTTGTGTTTTTGTTTGTATCCCATTTTTTTAAAATATTTTTAAAACATTTATATTTTCAAACTAATAAATAGTATGCAACAAAAACCAATACCCATCCTTGTTATCAATAAAGTCGATAGCAACTTCCATTCTCTTTTTCCTTATAATGTCCCAAAAGATATTCCTCTCTAGTTTGGACCAGTTGCTCGATTTGACTATGCCTTCTAAAGTAAGAAGCCCTGCCATGGGAACCCAAAACCATGATAATCATTATGTTGCCATTATAATTAAAAAGCCATGGATGGACTATACCAAAGGTTAAAGAGGTAGTGATATACTTGTCAATTGTGGGGATGGTTTTGAATTAGGGTATGTATTATATTGGAAGAGAAAAGCACTTGCAACATTATATTACATTTACACTTTGCCTAGGTGATTTAAATTATAATTAATCGTAATTTATTTTTTTTATAATCTTCTCAGGAACACATTGCGTCTAAATGTTTCTAAAACTTATAAGAAATTTCACTCTTTTTGAACCGCATAAAAATGATTAATAATTTCGTCTCTGTGTGTGAGAGAGAAAGAGAATGACATCGCAAGCAAAAAACAAAAGACATCTGAATATTTTATCAAAATCGTTACATATATTACTATTAGGGGTAATTCGTGTCTAAAGTCACGGTAGAATATAAATAGTTTTGAAATGTATGTTGATGGCTATTGAATGAGTCTATTTGAGATCATCAGATGAGCTTATTAAAGCTTGACATTTTTTATATTATAGATTTTTATTGGTTAATTTCAAAATGTCTCTTTCAACTTTGGATATAATTTGCAACTCACTCTTTTAAGTTTAATTTCAATAACTAGTTTCTTTTAAGTTTGAATATTTTGCAATTAACTCCAATAGTTATTTTTAGACAATAAAAATTAACAAAAGTTAGGCATATTAAATTCACATGATCCTTATTTTGTTGAAAAAAGATAATTATCTTTACACCTATTTTTTTCCCTGTACCAAATATTAATACTTCACCCTTTACCCTTACACCCTTCCATCCTCTCCTTTCTTCCTTTCGGTTGAAACCTTTTTTCCCCATAATGAGGTGAAGGCGAAGGTTTTCTTATTTTTTAATCTTGATATTTTTATTTACTCATTTTTTGGGGACAAAATTAATATCTTAAGAAAAAATATAAAAAATAATATAAAAGACAGAGGGTGTAATAATTCTTTCAAGTATTCAATCATTATTGTTAGTGTGGGCAAATTGCAAGATTTAAAACTACAAAGAACTAATTGTAATAAAAGACACAATTGAAGGGAACAGATTATAATTAACCCTATTTTAATTTTGATCCTCCTTTATTACAAGGAAGTTATATGCAACTAAACCCCAATATTATATTTGCTAACATCATCATCACTCAATGTCACTACCTGCAAAAATCCGCCAGGATGGAGAGATAGCTTTCAAATTTAACGTCAAACCCAATAGACGTAACCTAATTTTTAATAACTATGGGGATATTTCTATAAATAGATGCAAATTACAAGACACATCATTCTCGATGTCTCCTTTGTTAATTTGATATGGACAAAAGGCCAAAGCGGCGAGGAAAGATTCGGCATAACAATGATATCATCTCAATATATATATATTAAATTATTTATAACCTATTAAATTTCATAATTACTAATGATACACAAATTAGTTTACGTATCACTTGTCAAATATGCAGTATAAAATACAGTAAATAAGTAAAGGGGGAGAAGACAAGGTTTATAATGATTCGGTCAACGTGATATATGTCCACTTTGAATGACAATAATTACCGGTATTTTATTATCTCTAGTGTGGAAGGATAGCAAAATGTTACAAGCTTTGAGAAAAGGAGGAGAGAATTATCTCGAATGAGTCTGATGCCTCTCAAGTGTTGGTGAGACTTATAATTTATAGTGACTTAATGTAGTAATTGAATAGCCAGTCTGGCAGTCATAACATGTTGGGGTTGTTTAATAGTCATAACAGATTGAGGTGATTTTAACAGTAATTAAATAGTTTGACGATCTCTCCTCTCCTTAACAGGTAAAGGAAGTTATGATGCTCTCCAAAGGACTTAGTCAATGAATGAGGGAGGATTGACTCTCTCTCAGCGGCGAGAGTAAGGCTCCTGGATGCTCCCTTGGTGGTGTAGCTCTTTGATGGACTTGACTGGTTTGGACCCTTACTCGAAGGTGATAGAGGAAACTCTTGCATAACACTTACTCTAGGGTGGTAGAAGATGATCTTGGATAAACCTTATTCTAAGGTGGTGGAGGAGATTCTTGGATGACCTTCACTCCAAGGTGATAGAAGAGACTCTTAGATAACCCTTACTCCAATGTGGTAGAGGAAACTCTTGAATGATCCTTACTCAAAAGTAGTAGAGGAGACACTTGAATAACCCTTATGTGCTCCCTGCTGATGTAGTTCCTTAAACTTGATAAACTTGACCAGAATGATCACATTAGGTTGGACTTGGGCCTTTAACTCGGACCGGACTTATAGCATGAGTTAGGCTTTTAGACTTGGCCCATCAATTACTACTAATTTTTATGTTTTATAACTGGCATGTATATAATATTAGTGGTGTTCACAAGTCTTTATCATTTATATATAATTGATTGGTGATTTTACGTTTAAATAATGATATAGTATTATTTCATCAAGTATAATAATATTTATTGTAACATTGATGTCATGTCATCATCGTTGTGATGTCACAACCAATATAAAATTAACCAATGAATAAAATGAATCATATATATTTCGATAATTACATAAGATTATAAACTTTTAGGGGTAATTCAGTAGTTAAATCTGACATTTGGTAAATCAAAAGTCTTAGATTCGACATTTTTTATATCCCTTAAGGGTAAATCACTTTTGTTATTTGGGAGACATGTTTTAAGCTTGCTCGGACTATGATGACTAATATTCGAATTTAAAAAAATAATCAACATAAATCTAAATACCCAATAACAAAAAAAAAAAAAGGATTTAGTTTAGCCATTTATTAATTTTGTATTGAATAATGATTACACGTCAGAATGACTATGTGGTTGAACCGCTTGCGATGGGATTGCCACGTTAATTTGGTCATGACAGCGCGTGCAGAATGCTGTCCTCCAGAGTCGCGTGGACTTGACTTGTGGCAACCGAAACATATAATTCAGCAGCAAATAAAGCAAAAATGGGTCCACTCGACCCCGTCAGTCCATTGACAAACCAAAAGAAAAGTGTGGGCAGAAGTGCAAGAAAGCCCTCAGTGCTAAGAACCCAGTCGCCTCTCTCTCTCTCTCTCTCTCGCACTCGAGAGCTATTCAATTTTCTGAGCTTATTATTTCAGCATCAAATGTAGGAAATCAAACCCTAATCACACCTTTATTGTAGGTAGATCAATTAATTTGACCTTTCGTTGTTGTCCTGTACTGTTTTCTGTTTTCTTTCCAAGTTTAGTGAGAAATTCTAATGTTAGTTTGATCTAACTGAAGCTGTGTTTGGGTTTTTGAAGATTCGGACTATTGGGTTATTTTGGATGATGAGCAAGGAAAGGCCACCTGAGCCACTTGATTTCTTCATTTGGACTGTTGAGGTTCTTCTTTCTGTATTATTTCATATAGCTTTATGGCGATCTTTTTTATATCAACATGTAGATCTTATCTATTGATGTTGTTTTATTGGGTCATGCTAGTTATTGATGATATGTGTTTTGATGTTTATTCACTGATTATCGAATTACTTTGCACCGTTTGGTTGATGAGAAATTGGGGGAAAAGGTGAGGATCGTAAATTTTGGGTTATACAGTTCCCATCGTTTGTCATCCGCGAGGAAATTCTACTATACTAGCTTAATATGGGTAATTTTGGCTTTAATAATTTGAGATTTTCAATTTTCTTCCCCAGAAGAAAATTGAGTATTGAATATTACGAATTATCTTTTTTTTTTCTTTGTCACTTTTTTAGCCCCTACAAGAAATTAGTGGATTTGGCCATGGAAATTCTCTTACTTCAAAAATTATGTCTAATTATATGGTTCAAATGACTATTATTTAAGTTAGTTTTCTAAATGATGTATTGTTAGTGTTAGTGATGACAATGATCGTGGATAATTTTATCAATAAGTTGTTCAGTGGAGAACCCATGAAGTATGAAGTGCTAAATCTTTAAAAAGTTATTATGAGCTCGTAACAATCGATGAATTTTTGAGAAAAAGTTTGATAATTAACTGAGTTAACAGTTCAGTGTCTTATCAAAAAAAAAAAAAATGTTCGGTGAGAAAGGTTCATTCAATTTTCTTTTCGCTATGTAAGGATGGGGGAATATGGGGCAAGTTTGCCTAGGTTAGAGGATGATACTGGATCATTCCAATTTCCAACTTTTATATGTTACACAAACAATTTCCTCTCTCATTTCCCTCTCTTTTTTCCCATAATTGTGAACAATTAAAAATTGGCATTTTGATTGATTCTCATACCCTTTTATTGAGAACTCTTCGACCTCTGTGGTCCTTGTTAATTCTCATTGTTTTCTTTTCAGTGTTGTTGTTCACTTTGAATTTGAGAGGCTTCTTTGTATGATCACTTCAAATTTTTATGAAGAAGAAGTGGGAGGTAATAGGCAATTGAAACCTTATAACTTATCCGATTGAGGATAATTTGATTGTAAGATGTGCGATGATAAAGGAATAGGTGCAGGTGTATGGGCAGCAAATTTTTAGGGACAAGTAACGTAGTAATCCAACCCATATGGAAAATCCGTGGGTGTTGATCGGTGAGGAAAGTCAAGATCTACCACTCAATAAATGGTTGTAAGCTGGTGGGACATTTCTTGAGAGGCAACTATAGTGATAGAAAAAGGGAAAGGTGCATCATATGCAAAGGGCCCCTTGTTTGAGGAAGAGTTAATTTACTTTAAAAATGATGTGTCAAATGACTTTTTCTTGCAAGGAATGAGAGTTTAACATTTTCACTTCACACGAGGTACATTTTACTCAAAAGATATTATTGGTCGACAAAAGAATCCGCTTATGTAATCATTATAACTTCTTAGAATTTCATTGTTCTTGCTCAGAAGTATCAGGAGCGTACGGTCTGCTTCACAATGGAAGGGAGAGGGTCCCCCAAAGAGCAAGGCGAGCCAGCCCATGGGGAAAGTGAGAGTTAAGGGGTAGCATGAGGACTAGGTGCTTGAATTTCTCTTGATAATTTGCCATATTGGACCTTATATGAAGATTTCTTGGTTGTGTTGGAGTCTTAGAATCCAAGCCTAGAACCAATAGGGAGCACTGTGTCTGGAAGGCTGCATGACTAAATAAATGGGCTCAGCCGGTCAAGAAGCTACACCAATGATAATTTTACCTGAATGAAATATGGCACTTATTTTAGGGTTTTGTTTGGGGGTGGTAGGAGTTGTGGGGTGTGTGTTGGGGAGGAATATTAATATAGATATCTATTGCTGGATGAGTGTTTTTGATATGAGTGTAAACTTAGGAAAAAATTAAAGGATCTTTTAGGGAGAGGAGGAGCACACATGAACTGGGTCTTTGGATGACAAAATGAATGTTGGGGCAATGAAAAATGCACGGTCCAATTCGGCATGTTGTTTGATGTGTTGACATTTTCTTAAAGGAACAGGTTTCCAAATCTCTGTTGGATTGCATTCAACAAGGAACCATCTTTTGTAGATTATGCCTCTCTCAGAAGATGAAGGGTTTGGTGCCCCATTTTTAGTGTCTGTTTTGTAGTTAGAGCTTGAGGTTGTGGGTATGTTCACATGCCAGTTGGACTGCCCCATTTTTCACTGCAGGTTTTGCAATTGGAGCTTGAGGTGGTGGATTCTGTCCTAAGGTTTGTTAATCAGTTGGGTTGTCAGGGAAGGTGGATATGCAAGGTTTGTTTAGTATCAGATTTATGACTAATATGCTTTGTTGTTGTGGATTCCATTGAAGGAAATTAGCATACTGAAAGCCCCTTTAATCTTTTTTTTTTCTGCTTGGCTTGCAACACTGGAGTTAATTCTAACTATTTCCAATTTGAGGAAGGGAGGCCTGCTGCCTGATGTTGTGATTGATGGTGGTACACCTGAACTGCGGGGAAATTGATAACACTTTTTTTACTGTTTCATAGGTTGAATGTCATAGTATTCTATTGTCCTTGTTTGAGATAAGTGGATTATGCTCTGCGGGGTGGGAGATTCTTTGAGGATGTGGAGATGTCAATACATGGGTTTGTCTGGGATACAAGTTATAGTTTCACTATCTTAGCATCCCTCTTTCAAATTTTGGTTGGTTGAATCATGCTGTTTTGGGAGATATACATTTATGTACTGGATAATTGTTGTTTGGCTCTTCTATGCTTAGAGTGTTCATGGCTCACGCCCACTTGTGGCTACTTTTGGTAGAATTTAGTTAGCTGTCCCAAAGGTTGCATATGACACTGGCAAGCGAAAACCTTTGTTCCACCTTTTGATAACCCAAACAAGGGATGCTGCACGAATGAATACACGTGCAGCCTTGGCCTAATAAAGCCTTTTGCTGCTTTTGTTGAGCCAAGATCCATGTATCATTCTGTGAAGGATGAGGGGTGTGCTATTGTCTTTTGCTCCTGGCTCTAGCAAGTGAATTGTAGCAGGGAGTAGGGGACAGTCCATTGTGCGGAGACACTCTATTTGTGGCGTTTAATTATTTCATTAGTTGTGTGTTAAGTGAGATGGCTCTTCTTGCTGAGGGCCCATATCGTATGGGCCCATGACGTTAGAAGACCTGCATGTCCCCACTTTTGTCTTTCTCTCTCTCTCTCTCTCACATTCATTTTCAGTGAGGCATTATTCTGGTGTCTGATTGCCCATCATAACTAATACATATGGTCAGATTGTTCATGTGTGGGGTAGAAAATATGCTAGCCAGTGCTTTGCACAAATATAAATTACATAGTGAAAGAGTACAGAGTTTCTATGGTTAGTTTCTGCTTTAGTTTGAAGAATAATTGATGAAGACATTAGAGATATAGCTTTTCCTAAATATACATTTGGGCTTTATGTAAATGGAATTACCCCTATTCCCCCCCCCCCCCCCCCCCCCCC